CACACATATTACGATTGTTTGTCATTTCATCAGCAGATCGATAATCATAGGGACTGGTAATGTTGACGAGTATCATCACGTCTGGGCTCATTGCACAGGTGGCTGAGTGGCAAAAATGGTAAATGTTGCGAATCAGCGCAGCAGCGATTGTTTCTCTGTCTTAGCTATTTTTTCTAGTTTTTCTGATATTGTTTTTTTCTGGAAAACCCACGATCAGATCTAGCTATCCTCAATTTCCAGAGTTTTGTGCCAATTCTTATGAGCACGAAAAATCACCAAAGTTGCCTATTGCAAACTGTGGGACTGGACAGACCCAAAACTAACCCTCCCGGACCGCCCCCCCCACCCCCAATCCCTACATGATCCCGTTCATTCGTTCAAAAGGTGAATGTCCATTCAGTCCGTTCAAACATTGAACGGCACTGCTGTACCCCTGTTAACCGTTCACGGGGTTGATGAACGGAGGCCGGTCACATGTCATGAAAAGGAGTTCACGGAGAGTGGTCAGAGGGGGGGGGGGGGGGGGGGGGGGGGGGGGGGGGGGGGGGGGAGGAGGAGAGAAAAAAAGCAATGGCAAGAGTAGAGAAGAGAGGAGAACTCAAGGGAGGAACAGAGGAGAGAAGATGTGGAGAAAGCGAAGGGTCGGAAGGGGCTCTGTAATCTTGAAAGCCCGAGCGTTCAACTTAATGAAAAATACAAGAAGCTCAGTAGCAGGCTCCCATCAGAAGAAGCACTAGATGGCCTGACAACGTTAAGTACTAAGTGGAGCCCATCGTCGCCAATGCCCAACATGTTTCGACTGTTGCCGACTGGCAGTCATCCTTAGGGGCTAACGCCGGAACTGGTTTTCACTTTAACCTGGGACTGGTTTTCACTTTAACCTGGGATTGGTTTTCACTTCAACCTGGTGTCGCTCTCAGAGTGACTGCTTTCCTGATCCCTTCCCACCCTCAGATTTGGCTATTGTTGAGCTTCAGAACCACCGCGGAGGGGATGTTTGATGCAGATCTATCTAGTCTCCGGGGTAGGCGTAGCCTGGTTACCTTGTCAGATATGGCGGCCCCATGTAGGAGCTGAGGAGGCTGCAGCCTGCAGTTAATCCTTTAAATTTCTCAGTATATTCTAACAACGAGTCCACTAAAATAATGTTGCTTGGTGGACGCTGGACCCGCTTTCCAGCAGGTGCTTCTCTGCACCGATAGACTGGAGCCGCCCGGCAGATGGGTAGGACCGTAGGAGTGTATCATTGTGTATGCACTCATCATCWCTCCTATGATTCCTATCTGTGACATCTGTCTCTGTGAGTGGTTGAAAAATATAAAATATATATTTAAAAACAATGGTACACACTTGGCGTCAACTATCGTGTTCCTATGATATTATCCAATCGTAGGGCCAAAACTGAATTGTCATGCAGAGCATTTGAAGAGACTAGACTAAGTATGTTGTTGTACAGCATTTGCTCCTGTAGATGTTGATTTACAGCATGTGCTCCTGTAGATGCCTCTCTGGCCTGGTCACATGGCTGTTCGTGGATGCACGGTGACGTAGACGCCACCCTTGATCTTCATTGTCGCGCCCACGTCCAATGCCACATTGCCATTGGCATCCAGCTGGACACGGTCCTTCACGACTCGCAAGTCCACATGGCGATAGAGTAAGAAAAGCAAAGTCTTCACCTCCAGCAATGCCAAGTTCTTGCCTAGGCACATTCGTGGGCCTAGCCCAAAAGGGAGGAAAACGTAAGGGTGTCTATATTTCTGCTCGTCACACGAGGGATCGAACCGCTCCGGGCGGAAAACCTCTGGGTCTGGGAAATTCTCAGGCAGGTAATTCATTGCACACAAAGGAACCTCCACCACGGTACCCTTTGGAATAAACCACTCTCCCAGTTTACAGTCATGCAGGGCTTGTCTGCCAAGGACTGGTAAGACGGGGAATACCCGCAAAACCTCGTGTACAACCTGGGCAAGCAGATCACAAAAACACACCCGCATCATCATCATGTCCGAACAACATGTCAGTGTACTAGAGCACAATTTGTGCTTTTTTCTCTAAGACTTCTTCTTCTTCTTCTTCTTCTTCTTCTTCTTCGTTTTCGTTTTCGTCTTCGTCTTCGTCTTCGTCTTCGTCTTCGTCTTAAACGTCTTCGTCTTCGTCTTCGTCTTCGTCTTCGTCTTCGTCTTCGTCTTCGTCTTCGTCTTCGTCTTCGTTTTTCTTCGTCTTCGTCTTCTTCTTCTTCTTCTTCTTTTTCGTCTTAGTCTTCGTCTTCTTCTTCTTTTTTGCAAACAAACATTCATTAAACGAGCCAGGAAATGGGCCTCGTGCCGCTCACATCTAGTGAATCTGTTGAAAGTGGCATCACTGGCCAAGTTCAAGAGCACGGCCACTCATGTGTCTGAGAAAGCATAATCCAACTGTACGAAGTCTTTTTTTTTTTTTTTTTTTTTTTTTAAATGGAACAATGCGCCAGTCTACTCATGGGGAGCAACCAACTAAGATTTCTATTTGCAGTAAAAGTCTACGCAGTCATACCAGAAATGTGAATCAATTATTCAGCACCCCAAAAAAAACCCAAACAACCACCAGTAGACCCCAGTTTCCGGGACATTTGGGCCGGACGTCCAGGACAGGGGGACCCCAGTTTCCGGGACCCTGGATATGCTGTTCCCGACAAATCTGGAGGGTGCGCCACGTGTCTCCCGACACGAGGTACCCTCTGCCTCTGCACTTGCTGCCGGGTCCCCCAGGAAAAACACTGGGCCCATTTGGAGATAGAAAAAGAAAAAGAAAAAGAAACAGGCTGCAGCACTTGCTGCAGCAGCTGTTGGAGCCTACGCCTGCCTGTGGTACGGCCACGGGCCGGGCCGTAAGTATGACCTTACGCGCCTGTTCCGGGGCCTTAGGTGGGGCTGTCTCTTATACACATCTAGATGTGTATAAGAGACAGGAGGTACCCTCTGCCTCTGCACTTGCTGCCGGGTCCCCCAGGAAAAACACTGGGCCCATTTGGAGATAGAAAAAGAAAAAGAAAAAGAAACAGGCTGCAGCACTTGCTGCAGCAGCTGTTGGAGCCTACGCCTGCCTGTGGTACGGCCACGGGCCGGGCCGTAAGTATGACCTTACGCGCCTGTTCCGGGGCCTTAGGTGGGGAGCCCTCGAAATCGGACGGGGGGGGGGGGATTGCTGGGGTGGAGAGGTTACCCCCCCCCAACCAAAAAAAGTAATACAAAAATAGAAACGTTTTGTTTTCTTCTCTGGGTTGGTGCGATTTAAAAAAAGAAAACAAAACAAAAGTCATTGATTGTTTGATTGATTGTTTGATTGATTGTTTGATTGATTGTTTCATAGATTATTGATTGGTTGATTGATTGGTTGGCTTATTGAATGATTGACTGATTGATTGATTGTAAAAAAAAAGTAAAAGAAAAAGAAAAAATGGAGCAGACACACGCACACACAGTCATGCTTCTTTTGAGTGTACAGCGAATATGACAACACACACACACAGACACACACACACACACACACACACACACACACACACACACACACACACACACACACACACACACGCTCGAACACACGCTTGAACACAAGCTGTGTATGGGCCACAGATTCATGATCCGGTAGGGCCCTCGGAGGGACGCGTGGGGCTGTAGTACCCCACATGGAAAACACTGCGCCGGTAGTCCCAAACGACTGAGTTTCGGGAGCCAAAACCGAAAAGGTTTTGGCATGGGCGTTTTCTACCAATTATCGCCCCCAAAAAGCAAACAAACGAACACCACAGGGCAGAGAAAAGGGCTGCATCATGGTCACCATACCTGATTCAAGTACGGGAGCTGCACAATCTCGATTGCATCTGGGATGAGTTCGTCACTCAATTCGACCTCTCCCTGCAACTCCCGCTGCTTCTTGACATACCAGCCGTCGATTTCTGCTCTGAGTTTGTCCTTCACTTGAGGGTACTTGTCGATGATGTACACAGCACATGCCAAGGTACCTCCTGTTGTTTCCGTGCCTCCTACGAGGAGCTCGCGGACCAGACTCGCAATTTGGGAACTTGTGAGAGGCTTCTTCTCTGCCTTTGTGTCGACGGCAGATTCCGGGACTATCTTCACCTTCGTCAGCACCGATAACAAGTCCTCTGTAAGGGTTGTTGTGCCCCATGACCCCTCCTTTTTCCCCTCCTCCGATGATCGCTTAATCTGCGTTGCACTTGTCCGCTCCTCTACCTCCTCCATTCCCTGCTTACCACTACTACTGCTGGGGTGGGGCGGGGGGGGGTGCAAACCATGATGACTCCCCGAGGCCGCAAGCCCCCTGCTTGCGACTATCTTTTGGCACTCTTTGTGAATGAACAAAACGTTCTGTCGAATCCTATACCGCTTAGTGCCTGGTATAAGGGCCAATAAGGCAATCAAGCCGCGGAGAAGGGTCACATTACAGCCAAGAAACTCCAGCTTGTCGACGAGATCCACCTCGTAGCCGAAATCCGACACCTTGACGTAGCTGACAAGGGCATCAAGGAGATCCTTTTCTGCACCTGTACTCTGCTCTTGGCTGCAGAATGGGATCCCGATTGCGGACTCCGCAACGGTGTCGATTGCAAGTGCGTTGAACCAGGCTGATATCTTGATCTCCTCGACTCCATCCGACACACTCTTCAGCCTTTTCAACAGAACCGATGTGGACCGACCGATGACCTTGTCGAAAGTTCGCATGCGCGCAGAGTGAAACAGGGGCTGGGCAGCGGCTCGAACACTGGCCCAGTATTTTCCGCTGCAAGCAAGGTCACGCCAAATGACGCGCGCCAAAGGGCCAACCAGAGAGAGGAAGGAGAGAATTAGCTTGTGACCTTGGAATATCAAAACTGTACCACACTAACTAGC